TGCTAAACAAACAAATATTAGAACTTCTCTAGTGCCTCTTAATTAACATCCGTCAGTCAATTTTAACCATTCATCACTTTGACAAATATGGATGTGTACTTTCCTGTTTGTGTATAACTGATCAGCTTCATTTTCATAGTAACCATTTGTCAATGTTAATTATTAGGTCGTTTCATGCAACAATGTGTTTGATAGTTTAGATGTTATCTTGTTTATGATCTGGATATTTTTGAGTTGCTGAAGTGTGGTTCACATATTGATGTTCTTTTCGATTTATGTTTTGGTTTTGTTTTTTTTTTTGTTTTTTTGTTTTGTTTTTTTTTGGGGAGGGGGAGTTCACAAATTATATTTTTGTAGTTTGAAGAAAATTCAAAACAGAAAGTCCCTTATCAAATGGCAAAATCAAACATCAAACACATCAAACGAATGAATAACAACTGTCGTATTCCTGATTTGGTACAGGCATTTTCTTATGTAGAAAATGGTGGATTAAACCTGGTTTTATAGCTAGCTAAACCTCTCACTTGTATGACAGTCGCATCAAATTCCATTATATTGACAACGATGTGTGAACAAAACAAACAGACATAATAGGTCAAAATGTCAAAAATAGGGGTACAGCAGTCAACATTGTGTTATAATTTTAATCACTATAAAACAACCAAATATGTTACAAAGAAGCACAAAAAGGCATATAGACAAAGCACATTAGCAAAAATGAAAGACAAGAATACAAAAATTTACAATAGTACAATAACATAATGACGGGATGTATAAGTACGGAGCCACGTCATACATGTATGTATCAAAGAAAGACAAAAAGGCATAAAGACAAAGCACATTAGCAAAAATGAAAGACAAGAATACAGAAATTATCATAGAACAATAACACAATGACAGGATGTATAAGTACAGAGCCACGTCATATGTATCAAAGAAACACAAAAAGGCATATAGACAAAGCACATTAGCAAATTATAAGCCGAGTACCTTTGATAACTATTAACTGTACATTTAAACAATAAAGATATCTGCACAAATACGAGCCACGAACATGACGAAATATGTTAACAGTCAATTGAGGTACACAAATGAAATTAATCATTTTTTCATGGCACAGATAATCATGAGTGCATATTTTGTTTTGAATCGGTCACTTTTGATCCCATGGTGAATTGTTTCTCGACAATTTGCATACAAGCCATATTTTACCTAAAAAATTAAATATGTAATAAACAATTTACCTTCGTGTGCTAAATTTAGAGATAAATGGGGTCGATATTTTAGACATTTACTTCAAGGTTTGGTTTCTTGGACATTTCTATCAATTGGACAGGCATACTTAACTTGTTTGTTTCAAAAGTTAAAATACATAAGGATTGTTAGTAAAAAGATAAGGAATATTTTAGTTACAAAACAATAGGCGTTTTATTTGTGTAATAATTCTTAGTGATTAATTCATGTTTATTAAATGTTCATGATTTTTGAAAAAAAATGTTTTTTTGCTGTATAAAATTGAGAATGGAAATGAGGAAGATGTCAAAGAGACAACAACCCGACCAAAGACATGTGATAGAGCAGATAACAGCCGAAGTCCACCAATGGGTCTTCAACGCAGCGAGGAAATCCAAGCTGGCTCCTAAATAAAAATGTGTACTAGTTCAGTGAAAATGGACGTCATACTAAACTCCAAAACATAAATGATCAAAAATTAAATAAACATATCTATCTAATTTAAAAAAAAAAATAATCGGTGACTTTTTCATAAAACATGGAACAAATAAGCCTCATACAGTATCAAGTCAAATGTCGTTTTAACAAATTCTAAAGAGGGGTCATACACTCGTTTTCAAGTTAATGATTTAAATCCCTCGAAAATGCAGTTTTACGTCGCGAAAAATAAATTTTACGTTAGCAACGTCATTATCTCTCCTGGGACTGTATCGTATGCCCATAAGAAGAATTTATTTGAATCAACACATTGCATTACCTTCGTTTGAATTTCGTTAAATAGTTTGTTTATTGACAATCGCACCACTTCCCCTAATTTTCATACACGTGCAATCAGGAAATACTTATACCGAGGAGTATGCGCATGAACTTGCTTTAAGTCGCATTACAATTGTAAATAACGATATGCCTTGTGTACGAACTGTTGCACACCCTCGACACCCAGTGGCAGATTCAGGGGGGAGTTGGAACTCTCTTTGTTTTGACGAGCAATGTATTTGAATGGGGATATATGGTTGGAACCCCCCCCCCCCCTTTCTTTATCTTTGGTTGGGAACCCCCTTTTAGAAATGACAAGATCCGCCCCTGGACACCTACCGAATAATGTTGCCCTAGATTGAAAATTAAAATATTGTTGCGTGCATTTATTAATGCAATCTTTAAAAAAGGACAAGAATACCAGTTTATTTAGTTATTGCGATTTCAGAAGTTTTTAGTATACCGATACTCACCTAGTCGCATTATTCGCATTAATACAAAATTCGCAATTATTTCTGAAATAAAAGTATTTGTTGGGCATACTTCAGAGCAAAGTAATAGAAAATAGATTATATTTCCCCTTTTGATGTAAAGAAGTTCTTCTCTGCAGACTGTCAAGATTGTTTAAGCTCGATCGGGAGAGGATGAAAGGCGAATGATTCATAATGCAATATTTGCTTTCTAGAACGAATTAACATTGTTTTCATGTCGGGACCTTTTATATATAACTATACGGTATAGGTTTTTTTCTCATTGTCGAAAGCCATACGGTTGCCAATAATTCTTTACACTCCCTTCATTTGAACTCTGGTGGATAGTTGTTTCATTTGCAATCATACCTCATCTCTTTGTTTTTATAAATAAGAGGCTCTCAAGAGCCTTAATCGTTCAACCTTTTTGCTTAAATCTTTTATCAATGATGATTTTTTATTTTCAATATATATTAATGAGTGGATTAAAAATGCTATTCAAATGTTCTTTGTACCTGTCTTATTTTCTTCAAAAGCAAAAAAAAAATGTATTTTACCCCTATGTTCCATTTTAGCCATAATGGCTATGTTCCTTGACGTACAAGGAAATAGAATACACAATTATACTAGATACTCTGAAACTCCTTCAGCCCAAGTTTGGCTGAGACTGATGTAGCAGTTTCAAAGGAGAAGATTTTTTAAAGTAAGCAAAACTAAATTGTGAAAACTTGTCTTTAAAGGGCAATAACTCCCTAAGGAGTCAATTGACAATTTTGGTCATTAAATTTATTTGTAGATCTTACTTTGCTGAACATTTTTGCTGTTTACATTTTATCATTATCTATAATAATATTCAAGATAATAACCAAAAACTGAAAAATTTTCTTAAAATAATCAATTTAGGGGCAATGACCTAAAAATCAGATACCAGATTTGGCTGATAATTTCAGGGCAGGTAGACCTTGACCTAAGGAATACTTGAACTACCTTTCTGATTTGCTCTAAGTGCTTTAGGTTTTAAGGTATAAGTCAAAAACTGCATTTTACCCCTATGTTCTATTTAAGCCATGGTAGCCATGTTTTTTTACGAAACAGAAAATAAAACACAAACATAATTCTATATACCCTACGGATCATTCAGCTTAAGTTTGGTTGGAATTAGCTTAGTAGTTTCAGAGAAGAAGATGTTTGAAATAGTTTACACCGGACGGACGGACGACAACGACGACGGACGACGACGGACGACAAGTGATGGCAAAAAGCGTACATTTCCTTTAGAAAGGTGAGCTTAAAATTCAGACTGAGAAGCCTCTCGTGAATGAAAAACACACACAAATTGTCGTTTCCAACAATAATAATAACCAAACATACAATTGGAAGTAGATTCCTCTCTGTATTTAATATATAATGTATGCAGTGTGTTCAACTTAGTCATGTCCAAAGTTTTACCTGCTTCTCATGCTTTTACAGTATGTAAATCACGTCGTAAATATTTGAAATAGAAATAACTGTTTACAAATTGTTAAAAGGACCATCTTGGTGACTTCAGTGAGTTAGAACATCTTTCAGACGCCTACTTTGAACAAGACACTTATTGCAAGGATCTGTAATCAGAAATGAAGACTCAATGTGATCACATTGGACTGAATAATCATATAATTAGGAAAGCTAAATAGAAATATGCTAGCTTGTTCAAACTGCCACCATATATAATAACTTTCCAGCAACATATCCAGAGAGTTTAACCACATACCAACATTTCACACACGGCATATCCATAATTACAGTCTCCTTTAGTCTTCATCTTTAATGGAGCATTTATCATCGGATAAGTTGTACAATAAGCTTTGTTTCTAGATCAGTAAATATTTATGCTAAGATTTAGTGAAATGTATCTTGTAATGAAATTTGTCCATGTCAAGAAAAATGGACCATTTTGCAGTGCTGATTCGCAAACAAACGAATACAAACAGATTGATATCAAGCTACGATTTTTTAAATTATTACTTAGTGTAACGGTTCAAACCATTTGTTACTGTCTACCCCATTTAATAACGATGTATGTTGGTCTTGAAAGACAAGTTATATGATGGTGTATACCCTATTGTCAAATTACATCATTAGAAAAATCATTGGTCTAATCAATCACTTGTTTGAAAATACATGAGACTACACATTATTACCAATGAACCAATAGGTAAAACGGAGCAATTTACACCTTACCTTCGCATCGGTTGACAAAGAGTTATCGTGCATATATACAAAATTAACAACAGTCACATAGTCCAATTAACAAAGATACTTTGTAAAATATTATATAGAAAAACCTAATATAAAAAAAAATCGAATGGATACTAAGTATATCTTAGTTTGACTGGACGGATGGGCAAATCCGACTCCACTAGTGACAAACGAAATGGAGAGATAGAAGATACCAAAGATATATATATTGAAAATTTTAAGTCAAAGATATGACAAATAGTATGACAACCATCTTGTTACACGAGTTAAAAATGAAAATGAAATTAAAAATTGGCTATAACATGGTTTACTGTTGCAAATTAGAACAATACATCCAGTCATACTTTACGACAGTTTACCGAAACATTTTGTGTTTTTGTTTCTCAATCGAGTGTTTGTTTTTAATTCTTCTTTATATTCAAAATGCATTTGGTCAAATTCTTAAACTTCTTTTTGGACATTGCACTCAAGTGATAACTGCCTGTTGGTCATTTCGAAGTTTAGATTGTCACAATGTAGTAGCAGATTACACTTAAAATTAAGCAGAGAAGATCTGATTTTTTTAAAAACGGACGCATTTTTGTTCAAAAGGTAAAATACTTATTTCAATAGACCACTTTCGAGTTAGTTGCATTTCCGTCAAAAACTTTAGTTTTAGTGAACATCATTTATGCATTTAGGGGCATCATCACTTCTTTTCAATGTTGAGCGAGCAGTTGCTAAATAGGATGCTACATTGCATGAATTATTCGGCAAAAAAGAATTCTTATCATTAACAATCAGCACTGCTGTCATTAGGAAATTGAGATTAAGTACCTTCGGAACAAACTTTATTTTTAGTTAATCCTACATAATAACGATCACGAAGACGCTTGTTGAACTTAAAAGTGCACTAATACAGGTGCTCCTTTCTTTCTTGTAAATGACGTCATAAAGGCGCGAATAATTGAAAACTTTTCCGATGAAGGACATAACTCAAAAGTGGTCTTTTAATACAAATTTGACAACAATATGTCATATCAACAAAACTCAATAAAAGATTTTTTTTTCTTTTACAAAATACTGTCCGTTACCACGGAAATATTTTTTTGAAACACGTAAGCCATATTGGTAACAACTGGAAAAGAAGAAAAACAAATCTCGATAAGTACATCATCAATTTCACAAGTATGCAAAAGTAATAAGGATTAAACGAATTAGCATATATGGGTATCCTCATAATCATCAACATGATTAAATGATTTTGTTGTTTACGCCAATCGCAAAATTGCCTCATGTTTGTAATTGTTCTATTTCCTGAGATTTATATTCATCTTCGTTACGTTTGTGCTTTCTCTTTCCTTTTAAACCTGCAATAAATTTAATAATATTTAAATAGTCTTAATTGTTTCTTACAATTATGCACACGATTTTGTCATCTGACCATCCTCATTAGATTGAATTACTTTCTCAGTTGTAATTAAACATATAAACTATTTGTTTACAGATAATCAGTTTATCGTTGACTTAAAAGTGTCCTAAAGAATGTCATATGGAGATTATGAATATTTTGTTTCAAAAAATGTATCATCAAAATATTTAAAGTCTTAAAAGAGACAACGCTGTTATTTTGATGTTTTCTGTGTGGTATTCCAGTACTGCTCAGTTTTTCGCCAGTGAAGTTATTGTCTGACACTTTCCAACAGTTTATCATGTTTCAGTTCTAAAGGATGAATAAATGGCAATGAAAATGTTTAAACTGCTCTTTATTAACTGCAGGTGAAGTGTACAACAAATAACCGTAATCAACTTATAAGTGGCACTAGACATTTAAAAATTATTCATACTTCCTCGAATGAAGGCATCAATTTTACTAATTCAATGGTACAGTTTTTTAAAATCCCACTTAATATTCATGAAAAATGAGAATTCAGAAAATAAAAAGTGTGACCTTAAGGATGTACTTTGGTGAAATTTTAAAAGTCAAGAAATTAAAATTGATATTATAAGTCGAAAAAGCATTAGTTAAGGAACAAAATCAGCTACAAATATTGATAGGTTATGGAGCTCCTTTTCGAGATATTACAGTTCTAAAAAATGGCGGGAAAAGGCTGACTCGGACTTTTACCTTATATTCGCATTGGTATTATTTGGGTCTCAAATCGAAAGAAACAAAATCAAGAATCTGCATAAGTTTTGGTAAATAAACTTTTATGAGCTATTGACGTCTTTTATGAAAAGAAAAATGGGTGTTATTGGGGAAAATATTTTACCCTATATCGTAGGATTTTGTATGCTTCACCCGTCAGCCAAATTCACATTTAGGCAAAACTTCACAATCGCAAATAATACACGATCCAAAATTACAGATTATACCACTATTCTGGTATCTACGACTGCGAAAATATGTCGATAGTAAGTTGAAGTTTTGGTCAATATATAATTATATATATAAGCCACGGTGATCGTCTGAAAAATCGTCCTGAATGTGCATGTTAATTTGCAGCAGGACGATAAACAACCATCCGTCATCTTCATTGTCTAAAAGACAACAATTTACGACATATTACCTCAAGGTTTCAGAAACGAATAATACGAAACCTACAAACCAAAGGCGAAGATTTATAGGTTCTTTGTATTAACAGAATATGTTCTTTATAATAAATCCGTCGGTGTTGAGTCTAATTCGGTGCAATCCCAATCGACGAAAAGAGAACGAAATAAAGGTTACGACCAGTGGGACATATCCCTGGCCTTCTATGATACAAATATACCATAACGTCCCCTCATTTGTCGAAGGGATGGCATAGAAATCATTGGTTTAATAGCTTCCATGTCAACAGCAACCCGTTATAAATAAAGCCTTAGGGAATCATGATAGGTGTATATCTTATGCATAGACACTGCTGGAATAGTGTTACATAAAATTGAAAGTTTACAAATGGAAAGCTGAAATTTTCTCTTTTGTTGTAAAATAATCTTCTCTGACAGAAGGGTGAAATTTTAAATGCTAGTCAAAGTATGAGGCAGATTATACTGTATCTGTGGTATTAGAATTACTGTTCATGAAAGTCGTTGTGTACTGTGACTGTATTTATATAAGAAAAAAATATTACAAACATTCTGTCTTTAAATTCAGGATTAAAAACACAAATCTAAGTTTAATTCAAAGTAAAATAAACAACTAATACAACGCTTTTTATTTAATTTCTGGGACCGTAGATAAAACACTTACTACAGCAAGTACAGATAAGTTTAAATAAATTGCATAATGGTCTCCGTTTTCTTCGTATGTTCAATTTACCTAAAAATAAAATAAGAAACATTACAATTATCGAATAACACCGTTAAACCTTCGATGGTTATTTCCGAGTGCACAATGTTTGGAATAACAGTTATCCATTATGATTTTTACCATCAAATGAAAAGTTAACACTTTAAAACTAAGCAGAGCCGTCTAGATCGCAAAAGATTAACTTGGCAAGGAGCTACATTTTATAATCTGCTTCAGGTTTCATTGCAAAAAACAATGAACAAGTGAATTGAAAATATTGAAAACACTACTCTTATACTTACGACAGAATATAATCAAGACGACAAACAGGATGAAAGATCCTCCATAAATGTATATTTTGTAAATCCCTGTTCAAATATAATTCATAGTTAGAATTGTGATTAAAGTTAATGAATCACAAAATTGAAGAAATTTTTCATTTTGTGAATGAACTAACGGTGGCTGAGGCGTCTTAATTAAAATCCATAGAACTTTTTAATAATTTGTCAAAATGAAGTTTTAATCATGCTTTTATGAAAATTATAATAAAAAGCATGAATCACCGGATTTTTTTTCATGCTACAGGTTGTGCAAAATTGTCAGATTTTGTATAGATTATGCATGGAAAATCCAATTTTGTGTGATGAAAAGAAAACTACACCATAGACTTTTAAGATAAAATGTGAGAAGATAGCTCTTATAACATGCTTTCAGATAAGAAAAAGAAAAAATAGGGTCACCGTAATTGTTTTCTTGCTACATATTAAAATAGGTAAATTCACAACACTTTCTGTCATAAAATTACTTTATCTGAGTTATCTCCCATACTATTTGATTTATCTCCCCTTATTTGGAAAAGTTGGAAAAAATTAATCAAACAAAAATATTGAGTTTTTTTAGAAAATACAGCCGTAAATATGTTAAAACACATAATTTTCTATATTAACATTACACGTCTTACACATGAATTTCATACTACTCTCTGAATTTGCACATTTCATTAAAGATCTAGACCAATTATTATCTGCTACTTCAAAATCCAAGATGAAGGAAGACACCCCAGCCACCTTAAAGTCATATGACATTTCAAATTGAAAAAAAGCTGGATATGTTTATATACCTGAATGTCTAAGTTTTACTCTAAAAAAGTGAACGTGAACCTTTTATTTTTAAAGAAAAATCCTTTGCATTATCCAAATCTACATAAATGTACCGATATTGAATTATTGACTTCCCAGACACTAATTCGCCGATATTTTTCCTTATGCAGTAACCTTAACTACGGGACTTCTTCTTATAACTTCGACCACCGCACAGCGCAAGTGCTAGGGGGAAAGCCGTGATGAAAGAATGTGAACAGCTGTACTCTTGAAGATAAATACATATGTAGCAATAACAGATTCTTAAAGTACAAATTTAACATAGTTAATCATGTTACAACTGTTAAGAAATAGTTAACTTAACAAATGGGAACGCATGGAAAACATAAAAACCAATGTCATAGCTCTTTTAATTCACTCATCTGGCACGTTTTCCATGTGCTCCGTTTTTATTTTTTATCAATGTCTCGATCCGGTAAAATTCGGCAACAAACTCGAAAGTTACTTAGCTTGCGATCAACAAGCATTGAAAGAAATTTCTTTTTGTCAGTTATAAAAAAACGTGCATGCAAGACTTAGTTTAGTATATCTGCATGCATTGGTTCCGTAATTTTGATAACATTTAGATTTCAAGAACGTCATTCCATATGACTGTTAGATTTAAGAAGTGTAATAACATAATTGCATTAAGTTAGAAAAACAGAGATAAAGACAAATGATACAGATTTATCTGTATCTCTCATTTAACTCACAGACTTTACACGTGACACAAATAACGACTCTTCCTAATGTTTTTTTAAAACATATTTACTTTTAACAGACTAATATGAAATTTGTAGTTTAAAAGACCTTATTCATGTAAGTAGTGTTCTTGAAGCTATCAACATATTTAAATGTGCTTTTGTCACCAGGTGTTGATCTCGGCAGCATCCAACATAAAAATTTTTGATAATTTATTTGGTCACACAGTATGACATTTTTGTAAGGGAAGGGTTAAGTTGTTGTTACAATTAAATGCCTTGTATGAGCTTTATGGCACATTGAAAGAGATACATTCATACAGTGCAATTATAATTTGATGTTTGTGAATTATATAGAATATGCATACATTTAGAAAAGTATTCTATTGATAGGATTGGTATATACATTAGATTTTTTTATTGGCGTTTTTAATTGCAAGCATTCAATCTGTACTCCGTGTTGTGTCATTTTGCCAATTGAAAACCTATTTTAAATATTTTATATTCGAATAGGCAGGTCTAATGAGACTTTGAATCAGTAGGCAGATCCAAGAATATTTCCTTTCTTGACATGTTAACACGAATGGTCTTATATCATGACGATACTATCATGTTGGCGTCGCACAAGAAAATACTTCATCCATACTGCATGTACTGCGTATGACGCATTTAAACTAATTCCGTTTGATTTGAAATGGTTGAATTGTTAATCTTGTGAAATATGGTTTATTTATTTGTTGAAATTATGCTTTAAAGAAGAGGCGAAAGAAATCAAAGGAACGTTTAATCTCATAAGTTGAAAACAAACTGACAATGTCATGGCTAAAAAAGAAAGACCAACTGACAAACAACAGTAAACAAAACACAACACATAAAACTAAAGACTGAGCACCACGAACCCAACTAAAAGTGAGGGTGGTATCAGGTGCTCCAGAATGGTAAGAAGATGTTAAACTCACTTTCAGATAGTTTTAATACTCTCGTATAGGTACGTTTTGTCTTCTTTTTCTTAACTGTGTTTATGCTTAGTTCCGATTTGATATTTCAAGCCCGTTCCACCAGTTATATTTTGTCTTATGTGGTGGGATAATATCACTGTCCCATGTCAGTGAGGGTTCGATATGCCACATATTTGTTCGAAACCTAACACATTCTTTTGTCTTTGTCCTATACCAGGCTACTGTATTCCGATGGTGACATATGTTGCTGTCTGCAATACTTTGGTATTAGTTTCAGTAAAAAAAAACCCACACCATGTCGTTTCCATTTTGAATTATTTTAGAGTTGATTCTCTGGAGCCTTATATATACATTTTAAAGGTATAAATTTATAAGTTTTTAATAAAGGAGTTGTCTCCGTCAGGTAAAGCTCGGACTCCTTAATTGAATATGGCTTTACTGCAGGTACCTTTTGTGCATCAGCCTTTCAACGTTTGTTTTAGGTTTTTTAATTTGCTTACCTTAAGGATAATTTAATAGACGTTTATTATCGAGATGCGCATGTGGTGCAGTAAAGTGATATCGTTAATACTTTTGCCTTACGGTATATATTTTGCTCATTGTTGAAAGCTGGTTACCATATTCATTTATGGTATTTTGGTCAACAGTTAGCAATACTACCACATAATCTAAACTTAATAAATGTTTGATAAATGAAGAAAAAGGAAGACTCACCAATAGTTTGGAGAGAGTTACAATCAACTGCAGCTGATACTGAAAAAGAAAACGGTCTACTGCCTACATGACATTTTACTTGCAGTGTTATAGTACTGCAAGTTATTTCATTCGTATCGACAATTAAAACACTGTCTGCTTTATAAAACGTGAAGTTTGACACTTTAAATGAATCTTGTTGTTGCAGAATTTCCTCTACATGCTGAAATTTAAACAAAAAGAATATGTAAAATTCTAAGTGGAAATTGACACAGTGTTGTATATATATTGGAACTGACATTTGCTTATTCATTTATCACTCAGGTATATACTATGGTATGACAAGATTGTGAGTTCCGTTCTTTTCCGGCCGTGATCACTGGAACTGCGTACAATGATGAGTTGACGGATATTGATTGTTTCCTATCGGTTAGAAAAATACCAAAAATGCACTCGTTGGTGTGGTAAGCATACATCGATTAATACTTCAAAAAGAGAGGCAAAAGATCCTGAGGGGATATTCAAACTCATAGGTTAAAAAAAAAAAGTAATAATGCCATGGCGAAAAATGATCAAAATATAAATAAATATATTTAAAACACAACATTGAAACTAAAGATCATCAAAAATAATAAATTTCAAACAGAAACTTCTCAAAAAAAGAAAAGGAAACTGGTATTTGCCTTCAGCTTCACATCCCAATGTTTATTTGATAACCTTTTACTACAGTTAAGTCACTATATGGACAGCACTTATCAAAAAGAACTTTACAAAGGCAATCACAATTACAGTGACGTCCGCTCCAAACATTGACTTACATGTAGTAATTGATAATGAAGGTCACGTGAAAACTTCTAACCAAACATATGTCCAGTGTTAACATACCATTTCAGTTGAGCTTATGGAGTGTTTATTTCCAAATCGATACTTATCATGACTTCATTAAAATGTTTAACAAAAATCCTGAACTCCAAGTGTGTGAAGGTCATAAAAGCTGACAGAACCAAACGCTCGACTTTATCAACCGACGGATCGACTGAAAAATAACTGTACTAGTACAGCAATTTTCTAAAGATAATGGAGAGAAAATTGCAGCATCAAGGTTTAAAAATGGCAAAGTTAAAATCAACACTTCAAACGTTGACAAACGACATCATGACTTGATTGTTAAGCAGTATGTTTGACAAAAAAAAAATCAAAATAATGGTTCATTTGTTGTAGCCACAAGCCTGTGAACCTTTAAGTAAATGTGGCATTGCTGATCTAAACCCGTAACCGTAGTTTTACTTGCAACAAGAAACACGATTAATGTTAATTGTTCAGATTAAATTATAACCCTTTCAGATCACATAAGTTCATCCCTGGTCTTTAAAATGTTGAATCATTTGAAATAATAAGGTTTTCCGTCGACTGGCATATATTGCATTAGACGTGTTTGGTACAACCTTTTATAATTTTTATTTGAAATGCTCTTAAACTCCGTTATTGATTTAGATTCAACTGTTTTGAATAAAGTGCAATTGATGAGTTTCATATAGACGGATCATTTTTTCTTTATGACCATTGCCTTGTCAGTTTCATCTGATTTATAATATCTGATTGCCAACTTTGCACCGTATGCCTTTAAGATTTGCGGCCGCTTCATTATTTGCCATTCTATACACAATATTCAACCGGTTGCTACATTCGGTTCGATATTGAATATTGAATAACGAATACTGAACCGAACGCTAATTTCACATGTATTTGCTTCTTATTGTTCTTTTGTTTAATAAATTACAAACACACAATTATTATAAAAATGAATTGCAATAAATTGTAGTAATATCGTATATCATGTCGAATATTGCTCATATTAAATGAAATTGAAATAACTCTAACTATCAACCCACCGTGTTGATTATAAATCCCCGTATTATTTAACATTGGTTGATTTTACCAGGAGGTTAATTTCGTGCAGAAAAGGTAAACACAGTACGGAAAGAAAACAGGGTTTGTAAGCCGTTATTAAAATATATATATTTGTGAACGCACAATGATTGATTATTCATATATTATATGCATTAACATTTAATAATTTGCCATGTTCATTTTTTTACAAAATCTGTGAAAATGCACTGAAATCCATGATCCTTCGTTAAGCACATTATACTTTTAAAGAGAAAAAAACACTGCTGAAATGTCAACACCACTGAAACATTTGTTACTCATTTTCCATGAATGCCCCCTTTTGATTTAAATGTCTTTCTGTGAAAGTTGAATTCTTAACTTCATACAATTTGCATTAGTTAATTACTTATTGCACATGCAATACTACTTTTAGATCACGTGACATTTATTTTTGCTTTATTAACCTTCACCTAAAACGATTTAAACAATACTTTTAGGCAACAAACAAAAAACGTATTTGCCGGGTGCGGGATTTTTTCGCTGTATTGAAGACCCATTGTTGGCCTTCGGCTGTTTTCTGCTCTTTGGTCGAGTTGTTGTCTCTTTGACACATACCCCATTTCCATTCTCAATTTAATACTGTTTATGATATTTAGATATAGAAAACATTTCTATATATAATATATTCCCCTTAAAATGCTTAATAAAGGCAGCAGTAGTATACCGCTGTCCAAAAGTCAAAACAAATCCGGGTTACAAACTAAATCCGAGGGAAACACATCAACTATAAGAGGAAATCAACGGAACAACAGAAACACTGAAGTGCGACAGAAACAAACGCCAAATTGCAACATACATAAAAACGCACTATTCGATAACAAATGCCATATTTCTGACTTGGTACAGAACATTTTTAGGGAAATTGGTGGGTTGAACCTGGTTTTATGGCTAGTAAAACCTCGCGCTTATTGGCAATGTTGAAAATACTGCTAAAATGACAACACTACATGACAGGAATACAGTGTAGGCAGACATACATATATATAAATTTACAGTGATTGCATGCTTCTAAAAATAGAACAGCATCCTGTAATTATACTAAAGAGATGAGTAGATGATCATTTCTGTACACTTAAAAATACTTTGTGTATTGCGTCTAGATGTCCTTGTTTAATTCCTACGAGAAGGTAACACCTCCCGAAACAACAGCTGATTTTTATCAGCTTTAGTTAGAGGAGGGGATAAGGTGTCTGCGCATTACTAGGCGGTGTTGTCGTAGAAGTATGAAGTGAAAAGTACAGGTTCCAGCCCCGGAGGGGAGGAAGTAAAGAATCAAATCTACTCTAACATTGTTAGGTTGATTTTCTAGGCATTTTATAAATATTTTAAAGCCTGGTATTTCTTAATCATAAGAAATCCGATGGACAAGGTATAATTTACAGTTGTCACTACACATAGGCCGACATACATATATATAAATTTGCAGTGATTGTATGCTTCTAAAAATAGAACAGCATCCTGTAATTATACTAAAGAGATGAGTAAATGATCATTTCTGTACACTTAAAAATACGTTGTGTATTGTGTCTAGATGTCCTTGTTTAATTCCTACGAGAATGTAACACCTCCCGACACGAAAGCTTATTTTTATCAGCTATAGTTTGAGGAGGGGATAAGGTGTATGCGCAATGCTAGGCGGTGTTGTCGTAAAAGTATGAAGTGAAAAGTACAGGTTTCAGCCCCGGACGGGAAGGAAGTAAAGAATCAAATCTACTCTAACATTGTTAGGTTGATTTTCTAGGCACTTTACATATATATATATTATACAATAAATTATATATTGTATAAATTTCAAGATTGTTATAGTTTAATCTAAGTAGACTGATATATGATTCATTCAACATCACAATCATATTTACTGATGAAGGATATCTGTTATCCGAAATATTTATAAATAACTACATTTATAGTTTTTTGTTATTGGTGTTGTTGTGTACACTTTTTAGGCGTTTATATAATTTATTTATTGTGTACATGTATCGTTACTCGTAACGATCCAGCGCCCTCGTGGAAAAATCATTGACTATTATATTTATATAGTTGCTTTAAACTAAAATCATATAAATGAACTTGGTGAATAATTATCTTTACTTTTACATACGAATAGAAAAAAAAATAGAATTAAAACTGCAAACGATAAGACATAAAACAATATCCAATCAGAATAAACTTGGTTATCTGTCTCCGTCTTTCGCTTACCTTTATTCCTGATGAACTGTATTGATTGCAAAAGATAGGATTGTTGCATTTGGAAAAAGTCTGAAATAAATAAGGAAAAGCTAACTCCTTTTTTTCAGAATAAGTAGTAAGTATAATACCGAGCTGAAATTCAAAAAAAGAGAAACCACAAAAACTGACAAAAGTATAACCCTATCATTCAAAGGTGTAAAAAAATTTAAAAAAAACGACTGCTCTATTCTTGACTTGGTACAGGAATTTCCCAAAGGAAATGGTTAGTTAAACCTGGTATAATAGCTAGCTGAACCTCCCATTTGTACGACAGTTATGTTTATTCCGTTTTAAATGCGTTGAAGCGATCTCATTATTCATTATTCAACTAAAATATTTTTTTCGAATCTGTCATGATTTGTTCATTTGTCAGCAAGGAATTGATTTAAACTGCGTTACAATTCTCCAAATAAAATGCTTGACTATTTATGAATTTAAATCAACGTATTTATTCAAATTTTCAATTCTACAACAACTGCGGGAGAACAACAAAAATGAAAAGATACATCTAGTAGTGTCATTCATACTTTTTTCTATTCTTTCTGTTATATAGCGACTGTATATATAATCATAATCAATTATTATCACATATTGGTTAGGAAAACATTCGGTTTTGCATATGTAATAACCGCAAAATTGTCCTACTCATATTGCTGGCCGGGGGAAAAAGTGGTTATTGGTTATTGTGCCCCGATTCCAAATGACGTGACGTCATTGCGTCCTTAACGACAATTGCGAACTAGTATTGTAAATTATGAGAATTCTGCTATTATCAATGTCCAACCAACTATTATTGATTTAACCCCAGTTATGCCAAATGGTCGTTTTTGTGTATAACCATATTTCAAAATAAGGGGAAATAATAAATATGTATTAGTTAAATGAAAGAGAAAATAATGGAAAATATGATAAATGTTTTTAAATTTGACCTGTTGTGGTCTATCAAATAGTTCTTTCTCTTTTCTGCAGAACTTGAATATGTGATAAATAGATTATAACATGTCTTTTCTATATTGGCCATAGTATCATCCATCGAACCATATCGGCCTCCCCCTAAAGCCTCCGGCTGATATGGGAGTTTCGGGATGATACCAGGGCCAATATGGAAACGGGCATGTTATAATTAAAAAATATTAAACATAAATAAAAAATAAAAATACGGCATACATCGTCTTGGTACATTCAAGAAATCCTTAACAGACGCCACCTCTTTAACATAAGTGATACTACTTTTACACATTCTTAGGTTGTAAGCTACATTTCAGTGCGTGTTTAATGCAACAAAAAAGAACTAAACCCATATTTTCTGATAGAAGCACATACATGTATGACATCTCCATGAATATCCTACTTCAGTTAAATCTTTCGATGCTATCTAAGTATGTTAAAGATGTTACTTAATTAGTTTTCTTCGTCTTTTCCGTCACTATTAATAGTGTTATAATTTTTTGGAACAGTGATATATTCCTCATCTAGAGCGCGTCGATTCGAAAACGACTTCATTAGTTCTATTTGAATAGAAATAATTTATAGGGGGTTTGAATTGATATTGAGTTTATCACGGTATTTTTCTATTGATATTTTATCCCTACATATCGCGCGTAATAAAATAAAAGAACAAAAGACCAACCTTTGTTACAATCAATAAAAATGCAATCCCCCTTAAATTGTCCTTAGTGCTCTTCAAATTCGTACTTCATTTGTTCTTTTGAATTATTTTATTTATTCGAGCGCAGCTGCAGACGAATCACTAACTAGGAACAGATCAATTATTAACTAAGTCCCAGGAACAGATTAGTGTTTGGTTTGGGTAAATTCTTTTCTTTTATCAGTAACAAATTCTTTATTTTGCATTATCTAGTCATGCTAGTTCTTTTTCGTAATCTATTCCTTAGATATATTTTAAATAATAAGATAATTAACTTACTGTCATCACATATTGAAAGAACAATCGTGTAAACTCACTTCATAATATGTTGTGTTACATTTAAGCATGGGAAACACCTTCTTAGTTGATATATGTATCTCGACTTGTTTTGCTTTGTACTCAGCAGATCTATTGAAGTTTTCTGGCATATCTGAAATCCAAAATCCGTAACATTAGTGAACACGTCTGAAAGTCTGGTACAATATCAAAATGATATTTTATATCAAAGGAATGTATCTGGTCAATGGGCGGTACAACAACATTTGTATTGCTTTTATTTTCCTTTTCTTGTCACTGTTTGTCAACAAAGCTTCAAAGGATGTTAGAAGTGAATCAAACAAAGTATAAATGATCATTATTGAAAAGTAAATGTACAGCTTTTCAATACAATGATGCTATAATTTAACAATTGCGGCGTTTTCATGACGGTCAAAGCATGTCTTTATAATTCACGAAGTCAATATACTTCTACAGTAGCGTTCGTATTTTTGTAAACATGAGTAACAGCTTCAAAAGTTTACCTTCTTTCCTTCTAGACAAGACATCGTTATGAATGCGCACAGGGATGCATTGTATGTATTATTTAGAGCAATATGATAATGAGAAGTTTAAAAGGTGAGATAAAAGCACAATGTAGACTGCTGTACCCTATTTCTGTTTTTGCTTATTATGTTCGTTAGTTCTGCTCTCACATTGTTTTCATTATAATGGAATTCATATGACTGTCATACAAGTGAGAGGTTTAGCTAGTTAAAAAACCCAGGTTGAAGCCATCATTTTCTACATAAGGAAATGCCTGTACCAAGTCAGCAATATAACAACAAGTTGAGATATATAAACACCATAAGATGGTGACAAGGGAACGTCACCATCTACAAATGGATAATTAACAATAGGAAATGAAACATCATCTCTTTTGTCATAAATTTTGGTATTAAGCTTCCCGTTAATGATATTGATATCAAGATCCAGGAAAAGGCAGTGTTCATTGTTAGTTTTAGCTTTATTTAAAGTTAGTTCAACAGGATAAAGCTCTTTAGTGTACATACTGAAGTCATCATTATTGAGAGTCAATATATCATCCAAATATCTAAAAGTATTATTAAATTTTTGTATCAGATGTAGTTTCGATGGGTCTTTGCTGATTTTAGTCATAAATTGTAACTCATTACAATACAGAAACAGGTCTGCAATAAGTGGTGCATAGTTAGTCCCCATTTGAATTCCGATAACTTGACAATATACGGAATCTCCAAAGCGAACAAAAATGTTATATAGTAAAAAATCAAGGGCAGTTATAGTATCAAAGCAGGTCCAATTAGCATAGTTCTTTTGTGTGTTGTTACTAAAAAATGACCTAAAAGAGTTTGAACATATATATTCGCATTCTGACTTTTTGAATTTCCATTTGATTATGTGTGTGAATTTTTTTCTTAATAAGAATATGAGGCAAAGTGGTATATAGGGTAGAAAAGTCAAAACTTTGATACGATTCAAAATCACCAATATAAGCATGCAATTTATCAAGTACTTCCAACGAATTTTTGACACTCCAAAAGTAATTAATTCCACTATTTTCAAAGGCCTTATTTGATCAATTTTTTATCATGTTTTTTATTGTACCAAGTGTACTAGTAAGTAGAATAGACAGTTTAGTAGTGGAACAATGGCTTGAAGACGAAATAAATCTATATTTGTAAGGTGTTTTGTGCAGCTTCGAAAGCCAGTACATAGTTGGAACTTTCATTGTGTTTGCATTGGTTCTGCTTGTAAAGAAGTAGCTAAAAGTTTATGTTTGTTACAGATGTCATTTTCCGAAAATGGAGTCAGTTGGAATGTTGGTGAATTTGTGATTTCCTTTTGTAGAACATCAATGTAAAATTTACGTCAAACAATTATGATATTATTAGCAGCCTTATCAGCCGGGACAAAAACAAATTCCTTGGCGAGTTCTTTTAGTTTATGTTTGATACGATAAATAGGGTTATTATGGAAGGTTGTTGTTATGAGTAAAGTGTTCTTTAAAATGTTGTATACGTGGATCAACTATGTGCATTACTGAATTTAAAAGAGTCCAAGGATTTCTTGTCAGTTTTTTCTCATTTGTCCATTCCAAGCAGTAAGTAGAGAGTGAGTCGTGGATGATGTTACGACACTCATTCCAATTAATAATTGACGGAGGACAATTTTTTGGTCCTTTACTGAGAAATGATTTCAACTCTCGGTCACGAACGATGTTAAGGTCTCCTGTTATAACGTGGAAACTGGGGCCATAAATGTACTCGGAACTACTGCAGTTTCATGACGTAGATGCATTGTCACTGATATTTACATCTTTACACACTTGGCTATAATTAAACACATATTTCCGGGTAGGTTTTTTGAAAAAAATAACAAATAAGAGGGAGTTCAGTATTATCAAAATATCCTGGAATTTGCTCTTTAACAGAATGATCATTAAAAATACCGGCAATATTTACAAAATCAAAACCTTTATTGACATATTTGATTTTAATAAAATGTTTTTTATGATCTTCAAGGCGATCAATTTTGGGAAACAGATTAGAATAACAATATGCAATTATAATTTGAACAATTTCATACTTAGGACTGCAATATGGAATTGTGTTGCAATCTTCTAAAATTTTATGTAATTTATTTACAGGTAAAGAACATAGCTTGGTTAACAGATAATGTCTGCCGTTGTTTTTTGAAATAGAAATTAGGTCCGAAATATTTGTAATGTTGGTTCAAAATTTTCTTTCGTTGTGATTTTTTCTACGTCCATGAGAACGGTTTTTACGAACAGTTTTAGAAACTATATCCAAAATGTTAACAGGATCGGTTCTTGATATATTACCAAAAAATCCCATGATGTTATCATTGAGACCGAGAGGATAGAGTGTCTGTTATTATTTTAATCCAATTTAATTCAATTATTTTCCGTGATCGTACAAACTTTGAATGAGATTCAAATTGTATGGAAAATGAGATTCAAATGTAAACTGTTTATTAGAATCTTATCTAATCGTAAGTTCAGCACATTCAGCATTCTCAAAAAATCAAAAAAAAAATGAATTATGCCAAAAAGCAATTATAATAGATTGTGTTTACATTATCAGACAAGAATTAAGATATATTTTGAACAGTTTTGATAAATAATAATAGTTTATATAGGTTTTATACATATATCGTACCTGTCAAATTATGAATATATAAATATTACTCATAGTTCTATAGTAAATATCTCTTTTCAAGATAATGAAAAATCAATCTTCCGGAAAAGTGTTTGTGTTCGTTTCTTAGAGACAAAGTAATAAATGCATACCCTTTCCAATGTTAATGACTTAATCATAAAATTAGGTACAATATCATTACATCAATTATGTGAAAAGCTGGGACATTTTATTTACCCCATTTAATATTTGACACACTCTAACATGTCTAACTCCACCTTTTAACGAACCGATTCAAAGTTCCAGGATCCCTTATTTTCTAACTATCTTAATGAAAGTTCATTTTATGAATTATTGTGTTTTTCACTGTTGTTTCGTTTCTGTTTTGTGGGCGAATATCTGAAATCTTCATTTAATCATCAATAATATTAATGGCTATATGTCGGGTAATTCAAACACTAGTTTCCTTCCATAGAAACAACAATCCTTTAATCTGAGCATGGAACGAACACTTCATGTCACAGACTATAAATGAAGATACAAAAAATGAAAAACTAAGCGAATTTTTTTGTCCCGCAATGCATAAAAAATGTGTTGTATTTCAGCAAATGACACGTGTTCTTGGTTGAATTGCAAACACGAAGTAGTCCATTATGCATTGATACTCATTTATTGTATTAGTCAAAAACCCAGGTAAAATAAAATTTCGTCATACGTAAATGAACAATTACATTTGAGCATGAGATTAATAAGTTCAACAGCGCAAGAGAAATAAAGAAATCAAGAGATATCCGTTGCCATATTTTTTCGTATCATTATTACCTCTTTTTCATTTTTCCCCACCTTGAGTTGTCAATATCGGTTCGTAGAAATCGTGAATCGGATCTTTTAGAAAAGTTTCAGAAATACTAGACAAAACTACTAAACCAATTTTGATCCAATGTGATCAATAGTATCTTACCTTCTCTCATAAGACTGAGCAGTATATTATTTAAGTCTTTCTGTCAATTGTCCGACTTATCAATTGTAGTTAATTCGTACGTAAAAAGTACGGTTTAGACTATTTGAATAAAGTCAATCAAAGTATGCTTGCGGTTCGGTGTGAGTCAAGGCACTCATACCACATCTTCTTATATCTAATCAATCCGTATTCAGACTCTTCTGAATCTGATGATCAGTATTGTCGTTTGTTGATGTGGTTCATAAGTGTTTCTCGTTTCTCGTTTTTTATATAGATTAGACCTTTGGTTTTCCCGTTTGAATGGCTTTACACTAGTAATTTTTTTGGGACCCTTTACAGCTTGCTGTTCGGTGTGAGCCAAGGCTCCGTGTTGAAGACCGTACTTTGACCTATAATGGTTTACTTTTATAAATTTTGACTTGGATGGAGAGTTGTCTCATTGGCACTCATACCACATCTTCTTATATATATCTTCAATAAATGATATTAAACCTCAACCTCATACTGAATTCCTGTATAGCTACTGAATAGTACTAAACTGACTGCAATCAAATTGTCTGAACAGAACTTAATAAACTTTAGTTTAAAAGTCTAGAAATTGACTGAAAGACTCAATATTATTAGTATCATAGTGACCTAATATACAATTATAGCCTTTGTTTGAGTTCGATACAGGGATATATTGACCTGAAAGAAGGATATTGACTGAGGACGAAGTCCGAGGTCGATATACTTCTTTGGGTCAATATATCCTGTATTGATCTCATACAAATGCTATAATTGTTATATTATTAATTTCCGATCATATTTGTATCAAAATCGTAAGTGCATTATATTTTCTTTTTTTCGATCATTTGATTTTGTTTGAATTCTATAGATACATGTATCATATTGCCACCTTGACAATAACACGATATCATTTAAAACTTCAATTATTTTTTATGTAATTTTTTGTACATCTTATGTTTTTTAAGATTTTTTTTTCTCGATCATCACTATACACTTTTTAAAAACTTTCAACAATATCATGTCATGAAATTCATTAGATGACGTCCTAAAATATATCGGTTTTTAGATATTCTAAAAATAACCGTGCAATATCACTTTTGCTATCCGCCGTTTTCTATCTACCTTCGAAAATATAGTTTAACATGTGACTATCCCTGAGCGAATCAAATTAGTTAAAATATACGAATTAATAATATAACGATATGTATCTAGTTAGTTAATTTTATATGGGGAAATCCGGAAAAAAATGAAAAAGAGGTAATAAAGATACGAAAAGATAGAGTATGGCAACGGATATATCTTGATTTCTTCAATATAATACAAAACACTTCAATTTTCACATGAAAATCTTCTATTTGTAAAATTATATTACATTCTGAAGCGTACAAAAAGTTTCGAAATGTCTGATGTTGAAGATTAAATACGAAAAAGGTCATATGAAGTCTAACTGGTGCATGTGCAAAAGAGTATGTCAACGATTCGCATGAATAGTTTATTTAAAAAAAAGTGTTGAGCATAAGATTAGTAAGTTCAACAGCGCATGATAATTTGATATCGCTTGATATGAGCTTTTGTTTTATAATTAATATAGTGACAATAAACTCGCCTAAGGCTCGTTTATTATTTTATTGAAATTAATTAACTCGAGCTGAAGTCAAGCAATATCCAATTCTCATTTGTTATAAAACTTTTAATTTCCTGAAATACAGCATCTTGATCGCTAAACAAAGAAAACTTAGTTTGTGACATTAAATTAGCAATACGTGTACTAAAGATGCCGTCCCTGTCGACGTTGTTGTTGTCGCTCCTACTGGACTTCATGTCATGTGTGTCGATTTTTATCTGTATTTATGATGGTTTAACAGACGATGGAACACGACATAACAGGTATTATATCAAGAACAAATAAGTCATAATTAAAAAATGTAAGAACACACATATTTCGCAAGATGAAACGTTAAATAAAATACGAATCTTCTAATTAAGTGTTAATATGTATGTTTGTATAAATATCTACTTTGAGATATTAAACACTGATCTTTTCCTCTTGTTAAGGGTGTCTGAATGTATTGACTTGTTTCTTTGAATTATACCGCAATATCGTTTCTTTTCAAATGTTTTAGACTGTGACTCTGTTTTTCTTGTTGGTAATCGGGTGTATAACGTTTATCGTGTTTGATGTAAGATATGTAAGATGTGATCTAATCTTACAAATATATTTATTCTTTACAATACGAATGTTATGTGAAGTAAATATGCCTTCAAATTTTGTTATTCCATTGAAAAAGTTATGCAGTCGATATGTGAATTTTCTCTTACCATGGCCACGCATATTGCTGCAAAGCTATCTATCGTATAGAATAATGCGCCTGGTACTTTAAACATGCTTGTTCAGTTGATCTTTTGTTTTGAAATTAATGAAAGAGGTTGTTTTTTTTGTATTTGTTGATATATTTTCAGACTTTAATTTTTATTTCGTGATTTCACCCGGCAGGTTTGTTCTTCAATGCTTCATTATTGCATGTCTAACTGAAATAATCAGCAAATTTCACTAGCATTTAGTTTTCCGCGTTGCTCGGGTTTGAAGACACAACCTTCACCTCATAACCAGCACTTTCAGCAATGACCATTTGATACTTGTTCTGTCAAATGAATGATGGATATTGGTATCATAAATTCATACATAGTTATTTGTTATTTAACTACAGAACCACTTAACGATACCTATTTCTACATATGAGCTGCGTCAAATAGAAATCAACCTTATGCAACTGCACGGATACATGTACATGTATAAGACTTTGATAGATTTTGGAACATTCAATTACAAAATAAAAGATGAATTTTGCTCTTTTTGGTAAGGTTTTTATTTAATTTAGCAAACAGTATACTCTGTATACAGATTTTGTCAACCCGAAATAGGTTACCAGACGTATTGATACTCATTTGCATAAGGTCGATTTCTATCTATTATTATATTGATACTTACTCATATACTTATATACTTCTATATGTTTAGTGAATGACGAAAAGTCACAAGAACATGTATATTCTCTGACATCCAACTCCGAAAAGTTCTTAATTTCCAGTGTAAAGATTTCTTTAGATTTAGGGATCCTTTTCACAGTATTTTTGTATTTTTCATCGAAACAAACACGGCTTTGACACAGGATTTTGTCAGTTTTGTCCGATCTCCAAGTTGAAAAACAGAAATGGACAGAAAACGAATTATCATAGAGATATTCACAGTTTAATAAATATTTTTCTCCAAAAATAGCCGGGACAGTCTGTTCACTCCATTTTACTGTAATATATAAAAAGGAATGCAGGAAATAAAGTTGAAAAAAGTCATATCCAAAAGTAAGAGAAAAGGCAATTTTTTTTGGAAATTATCATCAACAAAAGCATATGAATAACTCAAACAAAAAATGTTGCATGTGCAATATATGACGAAATAGTCAATACCTGTTCAGGTGTACATAGTTAACAAAACACCATGTAATAAATGACTACGGACATAAATAAAATATCAATTAATTTGTTTGTATCAATTAAAAGGGAGTGTGTGATATCAGTTTTACAACCGTATCCTTATAAAATTGAAAATGGAAATGGGGAATATGTCAAAGAGACAACAATCCGACCAAAGAGCAGATAACAGCTATCAGTGAACATTTGAAATTATGCAATTGTCATGATTATTCAAGAGCTTCGAACATTAATTTAGTGCGTGCATTTACTAAATATATGTATAGTTGATACCAGGTCATATCTAGTAAGTTTAAAGTTCATATGTATGCATTTACAATCAATACATCGGCATCAGTTTCCGGGAAATATATATATCGTGTTTGAGTCTTTTATCAAAAAAGTTCACTTGACTAATCATACTAATGTAGGATACAATCATAATTTCTCATTTAAACATATGAAATAGATTTGAAGTTTGGAAAGACAGTGGTTGTTGTGGTGCTATGTACACATGGTTGTGATTGTGTGTGTGTGGTGTTGGTGCTGGTGGTGGAGGAAGGGGGTTTCAAAGCACACATGTACATGTCTTTGGGAAATCAAGTTTAACAAATTAATTAAGACAATATGTCCGCCCCATTTAAATTGGGATAATTTTATAAATACAAGGTTGGAACCAATGTATGTTTTTACAAGTAGTAGGATCAACGATGTTGGAGATAAGGGGATACTGAAATCAGTTTATAACAGTTTATACCAGACGGACACCATGAAAACAGATGATAAATAAAACATGTGTAATGTAAAAAATTTACAGCTAAATTAAAAGTAACAGTAAACACAATACGGCATTTTAAATTTTTTTTTTATATGTAAAATTTTATTAAGAAAACATTGGTTGATAGTCTGATATTGAACGCTCATTGTGTAATATTACATTGACATTAAGTGCAGGAACCAATTTTACAATAATTCAGTTTGTATGTTCTGAAATACGAGAATTAATCGAAAACTAGAAATATTGACTGTAAATGAAAAGACTTAAAAGTAATTTTGAGAAAATCTGAGATTTTGTCAAGCATCATGTGTTTAGTGCTCCTTGTCGTGTCATTAAAATATTAAATTGTTGCAGAATTAATAATTTCATTAAAAATTTCCCCCGTAGATATTTTTATTCCGTTAGAATAAAAATGATAATAGTAATATTTGTATATTTTAACAAAACACATTTGACTAACAGGTCGAACAACGGATGTTCTTAAACCCTGCTGACTGTCATTGGCGATTGCCAAATAAATAGATCACCAGATGTAACAAAATGGATCTTAATATTAATTAATTCCAAAAAAAAACCAATTAACTTGCGGAAAAGATGGTATACCACAAACATGAGGTGCAAAAATTATATATATATATTTTCAAATTATATTTATAAGTACGTCTGAATCAGTGACAACTCTACAACAGATTTATCCATCGGATCACCAGCAGTGATGGTGATACATGGCTGTGTACATTCTGTATATACAACTCGTCTAAACATCAGCCCAACAATGTTAGATCTGTAAAGTTTTCAGTTCTTCCCTTGCCGGGATTCGAACTCATGCTACTGAGATATCGTGACACCAATTCGCAAATTATATATATATATATATATTATCTATGCCGTTTTTTTTGTAATTCAAATTATAATTTTTACAAAATGATAACTTGTACAGAACATATATATATATATATATATATATATATATATATATATATATGTTCTGTACAAGTTATCATTTTGTAAAAATTATAATTTGAATTACAAAAAAAACGGCATAGATAATAAACAAAACATAGGTTACTTCCTGGCAGATGCACTACAATTTCTTATGGAGTAGTTCGCCCAATCAGACAATATAGCAAACTACTACGGGGTTTTAATTCACAGTGACAACCAGTGAGGGTATAAAATACTACAAACTTAGTGAAATACTATTTTTAGAATTATTAAAGTATTTTTTTACTGGTATTTAATCTTTTTGATCTTTTGAAAAATAATAATAAATAGAGTTAAAAATATATGTCTTTGATAAACGAATTATGAATATATAAATCTATAAAATTTATGAATTTAGTAATTATTTTTAAAATGAAATCGAATGATTATATGTAAAAGGGTAATGGTGAATTTGTTCAAGGGGAAAACAAACGCGCCGATTCGCAAAACCTGTTTGAATTGGAAAATTATACCAAGGGGGCAACTCCTGAACACTATTGACGTATCACAAGAGTAAATTAACATTTAATTCAAGTTTTAGTGTCTATGAAGAATCTTAATTATCAATATTACCAACATTTGTTGATCTATATATCTAATGATTAACGTGTTTACACATTATATATTTTTTAAACATTATTTGCCTTTAACTGATGAAAAAACAATACAGATCGTACGCTTGAATCAACTTTTTAAAAATAAAGATTTAATTAAAGCCTCCACCTATTGTTTTATCACTGCTAAGAATACAAAGTTTTCCTTTTCCCATTAAATTTTCTGTACTCTAATGCAATTTTGCCGTTAACATTTTGTTATTTTCTCAGTTGGTGTCATGATTGTGCGTTTTACGTGATTGCATTTTTTTGGGATTTATAAAGCAGTTGCACAAAAGCAATAAAATCTTATACATAGTTAAAAATGTTTGCTTAAACAAATTCTTGACGTATTTGTATTTTTAAACTTATCAACTGCAAAGTTGCAGATAGATTCCATAGAGGCAAAAGCTGTTCTATCATATCTAACTACATATGAAAACATTATCTTGTTTACCTTTGAGATGTATGTCATTTTTCTTTTTGAATTTTCCACACGTGCAGGTATAGGACTGTTCCAGGTCCAGGCTATTTACATCGAATATTTCCAAGACAAAACGCATGGCATTTTGATAAATAGTCATCTTATATTTGTTGATATTCTGACATATACCATTTAGGCACAAAAGTTCACAGTGTTTTCCAACCCGCCAGGATTTTATATCGGTATTTGTGCATTTCGTTTTGCTATATAAACATGTCAAGATTATGTTTTTTTGCATTACAACAGCCTCATTAATAAGTAGCCAAGACACTGAAATGGATTATACAGTAATTGATTCATGGCTGCTACATACAAGAATACAGAAACTATTTTTTTTTTAAATCTAAATGTTATTGACACAATTTTTTGAAACAATGTGATATATTCTGTGCAATATTCAGAAAAGGTATGATTTCGTGTTCTGAAGCTTATTTTTGAAAAACGATATTTGACATTAAAATGGGAAAACAGTAGTTTTTAAGTTAAACACAAAGAGGAATACCAATTCTAACTATTTTGCGGCATTGAGTTGTACAATCGCACGAAGGCCATTAGGCAATCTGCATTTTGTTTTAGTTTGTTTGAATCAAGTTCATTTTTGCTAGTGATTATGACTTTCTTGATAAAATGGTGTCGTTAATTTACGATGAAATGAATTTTACTAGCAGATAAAAAATAATACATCACGCTGTCGTGTATTTCAAGAAAGAAGAGACTGCTAGAGAAACATAGCTGAAATGTATAATCAGATTTAACTCAGAATTGTTTTTATTTTCACATGTTTACCTTGATCGTCTTCGCCACATTTACATATGAATTCACTAAAATCACTGCTGTTCATTCTAAGAATTTCTAATGATAAAGTGTCTGCTGTTCCATTGAAGTGCATTTTCCATTGTTTTTGGAATTTTCCAAAACATCTTCCAAAATCACTTATCAATATGGAGCCAGTCATATCTACTTGTGCTGAAATCAATTTAAATATTTTGTTATGTATAATATCATCCACATAATACGTGATATTCCTAAGTCAGGTCTTAAATTAAATAAATTAAGATTGCCCATTTGTCGCTAAAAACTAGTTGTTATGATATATGAATCGTTGGTAGTTTTCGAGTACTCTGACATAAGTGTTTGTATAAATGTATGTCAATAAATCATGATCTTCGATAAATTAAAATGTTTGTTGGATTTAGTAGATTGTATCATTTTCAAATTTTTTTTGAATTTGTGTTTGGTAAGAATCAAACTAATCTCAAAATAAATACACAGAGGAAATTGCTTTTTAAGTTATTGTTCAACAGCATTTCTGTTAAGTTTCGTTGGTTGATTCTGACAAACCAAACAGTTAATACTCAAATGAGTACTTATCATTTCCTCCTAATGGTGAGCTTGATCTGGATTACATAAGAACAAGAATTCATACTTAACAATGGAAATCAAAAGTAGATACCGATAATTGTAACTGATTGTATAGTGTGTGCATATTGTTGCTATTACATCACTGTCCCAGATTAGGAGAGGATTGGGCGCTCACAAACATTTTAAATCCCGACTCATTATATTTTCATATTTCCGAAGTCAGAAGACTGTGGTTCATTGGTAAATATGTTGTAAATGAGACCATTAGTTGTCGGTAGATGGATATAAGAAGTGTGGTATGAGTGCCAATGAGACAACTCTCCATTCAAGTCACAATTTTAAAAAGAAAAACCATTATAGGTCAAAGTACGGTCTTCAACACGGAGCCTTAGCTCACACCGAACAGTAAGCTATAAAGGGCCCAAAAAATGACTAGTGTAAACCCATTCAAAAGGGAAAACCAACGGTCTAATCTAAATAAAAAACGAGAAACGAGAAACACTTTTTTAAACATTTCTTTTCCCTGTTGGAGGCCCTAAAGTGACCTTTTATTCCGTTTACCCACTTCATTGAACTATCATTGACAATCATACCAAATATCATTACATAGGCTCTGATGATAGTATTGCTTAAATCGGCATTACCAACGTTTTATCGTCATCTTCACGAATATATTGATCGATACAATGTGTTCCGGTTCAAACTAGAAATATTTTCGAGATGTTACATCTTAATTAAGTCAGCAGAAAAATAGTATAATTGTTGAATAGGAAGAGATGATTAGGCAACCTTTTTTTTACGTCCGGAATAAAAAAAAAGTATCTCGTAAAAGGAGGCTGAAAAAGTAATATGAAATTATGATATACCTGAGTAATAAATATTTATGAAAGATGTCTGACACATTTATATTACGGCTTCCAATTTGATTTCTAGACAAAATAACTGCTGTTAAAATACCCATTTGAGATTCAAAATTAACATTTGAAAATAATCCACTATATAACATGTTTAAGCCGAAAAGTCGTATTGGCGGAATATATTATATACACATTGGGGACTAACTGTGTATCACTTATTGCGGACCTGTTTCTGTATTGTTATGAGTTACAATGCATGACTACAATCGGCAAAGACCCATGGAAACAACATCTGATGCAAAAATTTAATAACACTGTAAGATATTTGAATGATATATTGGTTCTCAGTAATGACGACTTCAGTATATACAATAAAGAGATTTATCCTGCCGAACTGACCTTAAATAAAGCTAATACTAACAATGTACACTGCCCTCTCCTGGATCTTGACATCTATATCTTTAGCAAGAAGCTTAATACCAACATTTATGGTAAAAGCGATGATTTTTCATTTCCTATTGTAATTTATTCATTTTCAGATGGTGACGTTCCATTGTCACCATCTTATGGTGTTTATATATCTCATTTTGTTCGATTCGCTCGTGTATGTAACAACGTATTTGATTTTAATGAAAGAAATCTCTGTATTACTAAAGTATAACACCAGGTTTTTGAAATCACAAACTAGTCAAAACATTTGCTAATTTTATCATTGGTACAAGAACATCATTCGTAAATATAATCAACATGTAGACATCTTATATGATCAGGTATTTCACATCTAATCTTGTTTGGTAATATTCTATACAAAGCACAAAAATGTCGGCATTCACCTCAAAAGCTAACCAAACTTTTTAACAGACTTATTCAGAAGGAATAGGGTTAATAATATATAGGATATACTGTTGTCAAGTAATTAAAGATGGCATATTTTGCTATTAATATTGATTCACTCATAGCGTCTTTGCATCGGAATTGAACACATGTATTCTAAAAACAGCCGTTTGCATGATACGGGTTATGTGCTTCTCTTATATTTTATGATGGTATGATACTCATCCCCTAACGGGATCGTTAGTGCTTGATTTTCATATGATAGTCAGGAACTGGTATGTCAGTAACTGCTAGTAATCCTTTGTTATTTACGTATCCTTGTCATTTTGCTTAGTTTCATTTTGTTACCTATTCTAACATCGGACTCGGACTTCTGTTAAACTGAGTTTCACAGTAAGTATTGATTTGTGTTTGTGTATTCTGCATTGGCTAGAGGTATATGGGAGGGTTGCGGTCTCAAAAAACATGTTTAACCCTGCTGTGTCTGTCCAAAGTCAGGAGCCTCTGTTCTTTGTAAGTCTTGTATGTTTTTTTTTAATTTTAGTGTATTCATATGTTTTGGAGTTTAGTATGACGTTCATTTTCACTGAACTAGTACGCATTTTACTTTAGGAGCCAGTTGAAGCCTGTGTCCAGGTGCGGGATTTTGAGTCGAAGACCCATTGATGGCCTTAAGCTGTTTTCTGCTCTTTGGTCGGGTTGTTGTCTCCTTGATACATTTCCCATTTCCATTCCTATTTTTTACATATTATTATATATATAAAGTGTCGAGATTAAGAAATTCAAATCATTTATATATTTTGTTTCGTGTATTATTATTTGTCTATGTTGTGTTTTGTGTACTTATGTTTGTTTTCTGTATTTTTCTTTTTTAGGCATGGCGTTGTCAGTTTATTTTCAACTTATGAGTTTGAATGTCCATCTTTTATCTTTCGCCTCTCTTGTGTATAATTATCGGCAATGCATAAATGTTTGACGAAGTTTACCATGTTTGTTGTATCTCCTTTTTTACCAATTGATTTCTTTTTTTTATTATACCAAATATCTTTATCATTATTATCTAACGGGCGACGCTTACTTATTCAACGCTACCGTTTTTGCTTTGTTATCGGTCTATGTGAAGACCATAAGACATTACTCTTTACCTTTATATTAGCAATGAGTTATGTATGAATAAACCTTGTCAATTGTTTGTTGTCTACATGATTTTGATGAGTCGGCAATCTCACTGACGCACATCCACAATTGTCTTCATTCATAATAACTTATTCCGGAGAACGCTTCATTCGTATCTTGATGACTTAAGATGTTCTGTATATGTTCTTTTTGCCTTAATTGCCTTAATTCTTTTGTTCAGTGTATTTTACACTGATTTGGTATCAAACATAACGAATAAAGATTATTCTTAAAAGATATGTCAGAAACAATGTAATCAATGTCCTGGATTTATATTTCAATGTGTTTGCCAGAAAATAAATTCTGAGACAATAAATTTCGTCAATGATCACATGTATTTAAATTTTTTTGAGTTGAAATGGATTTTAACCGAATCCGCCGTTATATCGTAATGGTTGAAAGTAAACAATAATCTAAAAAAATATGATTATGATTCAACACCTTATTTACGTTTACGCGATATGTTATCCAAGTGTTTTATTGGCCATTCGAGTACATGGTCTTTCAGGATGACGCATACATGTATGTTGACATTCTAATATTTTGCAAACACTTCTGTTTCTTCACATCAAGAATCAAATCATTGATTGCCAATCAATTTTATTTTATAACGATATACATATTGGACTGCTGATCACTACCGACAGTGTTACCAAATTTTGCCGTTTATTTCAATAGACTTTAAACATACATTAACATTTAATAAACATATTCTAATGAAAAAAGACATGTGGCTTAAAGTTAGTAAATTAGTTCCTGATTAAAACAATCACGGAAAATTTTGCCGTCAGCGTTCTTAATGAAGGAAATGATATTGTAACACATAACACTTAAAAAGTGTTAGTAGTTTTTTTTTCTTCAAAGACACAATGCTAATTACATTGTACGCCAGACTCACATTTCGTCTTCACAAAACTAATCAGTGGCACTCTAATCGAAACAATTGGAAGTAAATTAATTCGAGAGGAACATATAAACGAACTTTCTAAAACTTTATCCCAACACTAACTGATGTAAGTTTAATATGGAACAAACATCTAAACACCAGCAATCAAAAACTTAAAACAGACGGCGTTAAGCAAAAATAACATACATTTAAATCAAAAGAAACAAATACTTTAGCTTTTGAAAAGGGGAAATCTGGAATGTCTCCGGTTCATGCTGTCCTAAAAACTGCACGAAAACGGCATTGATAGGATCCATGATTAATTTTTCAGCTACAATACAAATGTATATATGATTCATATAACAGAAAGGCCGCGATATTTATCACAGGAAATCGCAAAGAGATCGTTCAGCAAAACGCTAACCGGGAGATAACCTGCAAGTACATTGTGTTTCTGCACATTATGGTTAAAAATATAATTCTAGCCACAAATTTGCAAGAATTTTTAGTAAATCAAAATAATAGGATTATCTAAAAGTTTAAATTTAGTATCTTTTAATTTTAGTAAATGACAATTCAAATGCAAATGACAACATCCCATATAATACGAACCAATGTAGAAAAATCATTATTTGTTAAAACGTAGATTCAAAGGAACAAGCTTAAAGAATAAATTATTTTTGCAAAGTCAAACGAGAGCTTTAGACCAGCTCTCCAAAACCGTTAAAACGTGATATCTCCCCAGTACAGTTAAAGCAATGATCGGTATCTTCGACGAACGGATATAGATAAAAAGGCATTGTGGGCGATACTTTTGGTAATATGTATTAGAGTTCCATTGTTAAATGTTT